TTGCCCATTTTAAAAATCTCTTCTTTATTTCATCATTCACTTCATCATCTCATGATTCTTTTCTCTTCCAAGCGGCCTGCAGCAAAATCTTAAGCTGAATCATAACAGGTGCAAGGAAACCTATGGAATCAAATACTCGACTAACTAGTGATAAATTTTCCTTTTTTTTTTTTTTTTTTTTCTTTCATCAAATTTCAAAGATTCGGTGTTTAAGATATCTAAATCTTTGTCCCAAATCAGTCCTAATACTAGTGATGTTGTACTTTCTGAAAATGCAGGAATGCCAGAACTTTCCCATCCTCTGAGATCAAAACATTCCTTCTTTCATTACATTAGTTGCAGATTCGATGAATATTTCTAGTTCGCCATTATTTTGTACACTAGTTACGCAATTATCGACATGAAAACTATCTTGTAATTTTTTAAGAAATTCTTCAGAATGTTTTTCTTTCGACGATTCTTTGGATAAATGATGGTCAATAACTGCCATCAGCAAAAATGGACTGCAAGTAATGCCAGCTACCACACAGGTGTGATGAAATGTCTTTATTCTACCACCATTATCATACCAAAGAAATCGTAAAAAATCTCGATCTCTTTCATTTAGAGATATCTGTAAAAAGGCTCTTCTGATGTCTGAAATCACACCAATTTCATGTAAGCGAAATCTTGCTAGAATGAAGGAATAGTTTCAATCAAAATTAATTCCAGTCTCTAAGCAATCATTTAGAGATGGCTGATTAGGAAAGCTTTGCCGAAGCATCAAAAACGGGTCTAATTTTCATGGAAGATAGTGAGGACGTTTCCTTAATGACTGGACGATTGGGAGGTAATGAACAACGGGTAAAGACAAACTCCTTTTGGGGAACTTCTTCAATCACTCCTTCCTGCAGCCATTCATTAAAGAGACTTCATGATACCTTTCACGATATCCGATTTTTTCCAACTTCTTCGTAGTAGTATTCGAGTCTTTTCAAAGATAGGTCATAATTGTCAGGTAAGACTGCATGCTCAATCTTTCCAAGGCATATCAACCTCGTATCTACCATTTTCTAATTGACGAACTGTTTCTTGGAAATGAACCATAATAGCTCTTCTTGACTCTTCTTTAGTTTTTTGTTCAACAGGATCTCGGATACCCAATAATTCTAAGTCCACAACGATGAAATAGGCAGGTCTTCTTGAGATAACACATAGAAACTATAGTCATATTTACATTGTGCTGATGTTCGGATTGAGGTCTTTACCCCTCAAAGTCCACCCAATTTTGTTTCTATAGCCACTAAACCTGTTCTTAGTTCTTCCGTTTGCCAGTAATAACTTCCCTGCAACGTCTGCCCTAACAGTACTTCAATAGGGCTGGATTCCCTTGGGTATCAGGTAGCCTTTCCTAATTCGCGAATCCAAGAACCGTATCTTATGCTTGAAATATCATTACAAAAACATCATGGTCTACAGCATCTAATTTACACGAATATTTATTTACCATCAAGGCTACTCAAATAAATCTTGTAACATTGATGTTTATAAATTCAGTTTTCGTTCCACCAAATAAAGAGTGACTAAATTCTTCCTCCCCATGTCAAGTCAAAACCCATTTCTTCTGCAGTAGACTTTAAAAACATAACTTTTTGAGCTTCCCGTATCAATCATTAATCTAACTTTACGCCTTTTATTCTTACCCTCTATGTTCACAACCTAGGGTCTGAAGGAAAACTTCATTCGTAGCACGCGAATGCAAAGAATCGATTGTTTCTCTTTTTCTCATCATTTTTCCTGGTTATGCATTTCACTAGACTTATTACATTCAAGACTAGGACAAAAATATTTCAAATGTCTTTTTGAACAGATCTGACACTTAATATTTGATCGACACTGGTTACTGAGGTGACCTTTAATCAAGCATATTCTGCATAAATCTTTCTTTTTCACCGCAGACATTTTTTCATCTAACGGAATATAAAACGCCTTTTTACAATTACGCGTTTCATGATCTTTTAAACAAAACGAACAAGAAGGTATTGATTGCTTCATGATTCATCAAATCCGACGCGGAAGGAATATTTTGGCTAGTTGCCAAGTGCTTACGATCAGACACAGAAAAAATATCCGCTCTACTTAATTTTATTTTTTTCTCTGTCTTAACTTCGCTTTTCAGAAATTCAATTTTTGCATCAGGACTTGAAATGTTTCGTTCAGATTCAGTAATTTTTCGTTGTGTTTCAAATGATCGCAGTATATGAATAGGAATAGCACTTTCTACAAGAGGGTTATAAAATTTTTCCATACTGATCAGTTGTCACACCGAGACTGCTCAGGGGTCTAAGTTGTGTTGAAAGTTTGTTATACGAACTACTCAAAGAATCCTGCTTCTTTTTCGCTGCGTTATCCAAAACAAGTTTTATTAACTCTCGAACAATAAAAATCAGATTAAAAAGTTCTTTACGGCCATATCTCTCAGTGAAGGCTTTCTATAGCCAAAGGATAATTTTCGGTTTGTCACAGGAAAAGATTCTACAATATTTCTAGCTTCTGATTTAATTTTTGTTGACTGTATCAAATAATGGAATTTGTCTGCATTCGTTAAGTTTATTATTTTCATGTATGTTTTTAAACTGATTCCAGAACGTAAGCCAATTTTTTAAATCAACCTGCGAAATTATAAAGTTCTACTTTCGGCAGGCGTTGGCACAAAGTTTTACGTGGATTTTCATCAGTAACTAATTCCTGACTACTCTCTGACGTTGTATTTTGGATTTCGTTTAATTTTCTTTTAATATTATCGAGAAATCGTTCCGATTTTAACTGTATCCTAACAGCCTTTTTTCGATAGTCCTCTTTTATTTCAAATTCTTTATCATTAGTTATAGTTGTAGAGAATAGTTTATCCAACAGATGGCAGTATCTCCCAAGTTCCTTTGGTAATTGTCAATGCGCATGCGCAAGCGGAGTGTAGAAAAAAGTATGTTAATAGGAGAATGAGCTTTCGTTAAAAATGTTTCTGCGCGTTTTCGCTGTGTAAATAAAAGTGTATTTTTGTAACATAGATGTTCTTTACTCTCAAATGGAAACACTAGGTTATTGCACGAATTTGGACTGATTCAGAATCCATTTTCAAACCGTGGATAACCACAATAAAAAGTGGCGTCCGAGACAGGATGCATTAGTTAGGTAAAGGACACTTTTGATGGTTTAACAGCAGAAATAGAAGCCTTGAAAGTAAGAATACCACTGCGTGTAGCCTTCACGAAAGCATATAAGCACGAAAGCACGTGGCCATTTCGCCGTGGCTTCTTCGAAGTCGGGCTTTTCGCAGTCGGGCCGCTTCGCCGTCGGGACGTTTCCCCGTCAAGAGATACGTTTCTTTACATGATTGTTTATTCCTTGCCGTATTATATTAATTTGATTTAAATTAATAACTCCGTTTAGTTTAATAATTTAATTTCATAAACATTTCATATAAATAATTTATAAAATTACATATTAAATGTGTGTACATTTTTATACAAATACTCTCTTACACATGATATAGTAATTTTAAGAGGGCAATATGCTGACCAGATTTCAAAGTAATTCCGTTTTCCATTCAGATTTCTTAAAAATATGAATTTTGTGCTTGTCAGTGATTTCTCTGAACTAGCCGATTAAAATTTCAAGAAATTTTTACGAATCATGTAAATATTGTACCCGCATAATTTCAAAACTGATAATATAACTTTTGTTACATCATAAGTTTAGCTTCAGTTCTCTTTGATACTGACATAATTTTGCAGCTAACTATGTGTAATTTCTTTATATCTCATACTTGTAAGTTATTATATATATTAAAAGAAACTTTTCAGTAGTGACTAGGAGTTGCCGACAGGAGGCGCTGCTAGCGCGTTTATACTCTGGACCTACGTAATATTTATAGAGTACTTTTTTGTTTCGTGTACTTGCTGTAACATATCTTATAGCTTTGTGATTGAAAATTTAAAATGTTTAGGGTCCAGATCGCTCCTGTACAACAACGAAATGATTAATAAATATATAATAAAATAAATATCTTTTTGATGATAATCTTTGTTATTGAAACGAAAGTGAACCAGCTCCTGAGTACAGTTCAAGTGGTCCGTCGATAGTCGCAAGTGAGCTTTCCCATTTTAATCCCTATTTACTAAATTTGAAGAGTATAAAGTTTATAAATATGGAAGCTGTAAAATCTAGAAAACGAAAGTTGAAAAGCTCTCTGACGCGGCATAAAGATAAAGTTGTTTCGTCATTCAATGTTTCAGATTCAGTTGCGTTGCAGCTATTTGAAACAAAAACTAATGAAATTTCAAATGAACTTAAATCTGTATTTTATTCAATTTCCGAACCATGTAAACCAGAAAGATCGTGTAAATATGTTGAGTATAAAGAAGATACAGATGATATTGTTGATAAATTATGATGATTAAACTATTGAGGATTAAACGCAAAATTATTCGTAATTAAAAATAAGATGAATTCTGAAAATTCTGTTTCTGCTGTGCCGAGTAATAATAATTCAAATATGTTTTCGAATGTTACGTTACCGACGCTATCGGTACCGACATTTAATGGTAAAATCGAGAACTGGGTAATGTTTAACCTAGTGTAACAGAAAACAAATATATTTTGAGTAAAGCAATGGAATTGCAATATTTAAAAGCTAGTTGTAAGGACGAAGCTCTGAGAGTAATACAGTCTATTTCTATTTCTTATACAAATTTCGATGTAGCAAGGAAACGTTTTGAAGACAGGTAATCGAATTAATGTGAGCTTTTAACTTAACTTAAATTGAAGGTGCATTATAAAAGCTGCAACGTTAAATTAATATTTTTTCTAAACGTAATATGGAATTAAACTTTAGCACCTAATTAGTTTTTCATATCCGTGTAAGGATGCAGTTATCAACATTTAAGGACATCCGGCCGATAGGGAAATAAGGAAGGAAATATTAAGTCTTGAATTTTAATTACAGATATGATAGATTGTTACTTTATCTCACGCTTCAGAAAGCAAGTGTTAAGCTAAGAGTAGTTACTTTTACTGTAGGCAACTAAACAGTCATGTGGTTCCTCCTTTTAACACCTTTTTTAATTTTCTTTCCAGGTAATAAATTATTTGGTATTATAATAATTAATTATTATGTGAAAATAACAGTAATTATTTTTATTTTAAATGTTAACAGTAATAAGTTTGCAAATAAATTCGGAAAATCTCTTGCAAACTAACGTGCGATTATAATTTCAGTGTGAAAGGAAAGTGCCATACTGGCGGTACTATGAAATATCAGATTCTTTATCAGAACCGTCTTTGATTTATATTTGTATGCGCAAATTAACCTTAAAAATATATATTAAAACAATTCATTACTGTCTCTTACTTTTTAGGTTTAAGGACATTAACTTATTGGAAATAATTTTAACTTTTAATGATATTCTTCGTAGGATATTTAATAGACAAAGTTGGTTTATTGAAACCGTTAATCTCCTTACAAATAATTTGTTTTCTCCTATTTATTAAAAAAAAAAAATAGGGTACTCTCTTACGTTTCGGTTAATATAATGTATGATGCGAACAAGTGATGTTAAAGATCTGTGCGAACAAAAATGTAATTTATAAATTTTAAAAAATCAATAGTACCGATATATATGTGTTTAAAAAATTTATTTAAAATGCAGTAGTAATATTTTGCTATTTGGAAGGAATATATTAACATATTATTATAAAACATCTACTTATATTTCATGTCATTGCATCTGCAGTGCAAAATGCACGGTTAGTTAAATGGCAACTCTTATCTTATAATAAATAAATAAAAAAATAGCTTTTTAACAGTTGTAAACTCTATGCAGAAACCGTTATACATCAGATATTAGAGAAGATGAACTAAATTTAAATCTATTTACCTCAAAATTTATTTTGTTGCAACTGTAAAAAGGCAATCCCCATATTCATAATCTTGACTAAACTTTATAATATGTAAGCTTACTTAAAATAGCACAAAATGTCTATTGGCATCAAACTGAGGTTTTGCGTCAAATCACTATAAATGGATCGTCAATCGAAATAATTGGAAATTTTCTATCTTGCATGTGTTAAAACCAGAAAAAGGTTTAAAAGGCCTATTTACGCGATTTATAAGTATGACCTTCACCGCCTAGTCAAAATGGTATTTTTATTAGTCCAAAGGGATTTCAGTCCCGAAGGACTATTGCTTTCGTTTTGGCATTTTGCGTCGGACTCATAAACGTCGGTTCACTTTTCAAACTGTTGCCACAAAATGTTAGAGTCCTGCATTATATTTGAAGAAATTAAATAATGAAAAATCTGCATAAATGATTGTCTATTTCTCGCATTGTGATAAAACAATGGTACATAGAGCCATCGAATTTTGAATGACGAAATCCTACTGCGAATATGGGCATCTGAAATCCCAAATTTGGAATTTGTTTTATTATAGATTTTATATTTTGTAAAACTTTAACGAATTTTTGATTTACAAACTCAATGCTTTAAAAGCGAGAAATGGCAACGTTATATAGAAAAAAAAATACTTTTATCTCCAGCTCGCGAGACTGTGTATATCGGAAATTCTAAAGATATGCTTAATTTAACATTATTTTGCGATATTGCTCTTGAACTGAATTTTATGGTTTAAGTGCAAAGAACATGATATTTAATAAATAAAGGTAACACTCAAAACGTTAAAAAAACGCCCCTTTGGACGTAATTTAAAATCTGAAAAATTTCAGATTTTTTTTTTTTTATTTTTTTTGGTTTTTTTTTTTTTTATAAAGTTAAATAATTTATAAAGTTTATTGTGATAAAACATAAAGAGTTCAATTTTGAATAAGGTAATCCTCTTGCGAGTATGGGCATCTGGAAGCGCAAATTCGAAGTTTAGAAATTGTTTTATTATCGATTTCATATTTCGTAAAACTTTAATGAGTTTTGATTAACAAACTGGAGGATTTCAAAGCGAGCAATGACAACGTTGCACAGAAAAAAAACATTTTTATCTCCAACGCGCGAAATTGTGTATCGGAATTTCTAACGATATGCTCATTTTAAAATTATTTTGCGATATTACTCTTGAACTGAGTTTTATAGTTTAATTTCGAAGAACAGGATATTTAATAAATAAAGGTAACATACAAAGTGTTAAAAAACGCCTCTTTGGACTAATTTAAAATCTGAAACCTATCAGATTAATTTTTTCATATTTTTAAAATCCTTAATGAATTCTTGATTAATAAACTAAATGATTTGAAAACGGACAGTAACAGTACTATACGAAATATGATACTTTTACCTCCAGCGCGTGAGACTGTCTATCGGAAATCTAAAGCTGAGTATTTTTAAATATTTTGCGACTTTGCTATTGAACTGAATTTTATGTGGTGAAAGTGCGAAGAATGTGATATTTAATAACGTTAACACACTAAACGTTAGTAATAAATATACAAAAAGAAAGTTTTGGAAGTCGTGTTACTAAGGAAACTAAATATTGATAGTATAACTCAGAATAGACTGTAAAAAATATCTGAAAGATTTCAGATTTTATATTGCACCCAAATGGGTGATTTTTAACATTTTGTGTGTTAGATTTATATATTAAATATCAAGTTTTTCGGAATTAACCACATAAAATTCAATTCAACAGCATTGTTACAAAATATTTAAAAACAGCATACCGTTAGCATATCGGATAGACTGTCTCGCTCGCTGGAGATAAAAATGTTATTTTTCGTAGAGTGTTGCCATTGCTAGCTTTGAAATTGTTGAGTTTGTTAATCGAAAACTCGTTAGAATTTTACAAAAGATGAAATATATAATACAAAAAATTTCAGATTCAAAATTCGGGCGGCCAGCTGCCCATTTTCGGTTGGAGGATTACGTTATTAAAAATTTGATAGCTCTAGATGCCGTCGTTTTTTCTAAATGCGAGAAACATACATACACTCATGCAGATTCTTCATTACTTAATTTGTTAAATATAATGCAGTTCGATAATATTTGGTGGCAACAATCTGAAAGTGAAATGGATATTTTGGGCTAAAAATAGATAATGTTATTAAAAAACTTAACACTGCATCGGGGATACTAGACACATGGTGCTTTTAAACTGTGTATTGCGCAAGTGTGAAGAAAACAATGGCAATGGGATAATAAAAAAATGGATTTGTCGAAGTGCTATAAGTGGGCTGGTAGACTGCCACATCAGAAACAAATCCTTTTGGGTGACCGTTAAAATCGGAAAACTTACTTTTCTTTTCAAATTTATCTGAAAGACCTTATGTATTGACAAACTACAACAGAATGATCTTTACCCGAGTTCTTGTGTGGAAAAATAATTTCGGATTGCATATATGTGGAACATACATATTTGTACGACAAATACTTTAGGCACTTGACTGTGTGTAAAAGTAGGAATAAATATCTACAACATTATTAAGAGAAAATATATATTACAATACAAATACATATCAATAATAAATGAATCAATGCACTTTTTATGGATTATTTTTAGTTCCGTTTAGGAGCTTGACTGCCACAGAATCTTTATGTATGCATTAATTTGTTGTGTTGTTCATTAAAAAAACGAATAAAAAATCACTTTCGTGCATGCACTGTTTACGACAATTATGTTTCTTTTTAATATAATTTGTTAGAAAACGAAACTGAAATTTTAAGTATTTATATGTTCAGTCCAATATCTTAATTTAAATACCATAAATATCTAAGTACAATACAGTGATAATTTTTTATTTCATTACAGTTACTAATTTCAAAATATAGAAAAAAATGCCGTGTAATCAATATTCATACAAGGAAATATGTAATGTATATTAATAATATATAGATTAAAATATGAGTATTGGTAAATAAACTGCAGTTTATAAAATTTAAAATTAGATACAATTTACAGTAATCATAAATAAATATGTTTCTCTTTTAAATATCCTGTTTTTGTATTCAAACTTAGCATCAAATATCTGTCTACTAAAAGTCTTTCTCATGGAATGGACAATAAATATCTCTTATGTACTGCGAAATATTTGTAACATTTACTTTAATGTTTAATGTGTGTGTATGTGGTAGCACAGCTACATTTTAGGTAATTCTTTTGGTGCAGCAGATGTTTTAATTGACATAATTCATCAATGAACGAGAATACTTGAATCCCTTTCCTGTTTACAGATTTATTTAACAGCTCTATGTTTAAGCTCACAATGTAAAAATGTCTCATGCTTTTATAATGAAATAGATAAAGAGCTCTTTTAAAAGTGGTGGAATAGACTAGATTATGCCAAGAAATGTATCATGGCATTTGGCTCAGTTTTAACCATGACACGGAAACCACGAAAAATCCATTTGCAAGGAGCATTCAATTTAGGAATAACCCCCAAGTAAACCGTAAGTGTTTAGCGGTACTAATAACATGGTTGCTAGTATTAGGCCTTTAAATGAGTTGGGGAGGAGTAATTTCAGACTAATTGAGTAAAAACTAATACCTTCTTTGATTTTCAATTTTTTTTTTTAATCCTTCAGACAATCTGGGTTTCAATAAAGCAAGCTTCGGTAAAGTGCGTTTCCTTGCATATCCTTAAAGACAGAAGAAAACTTCACTGGAATGATAATTTCCAAAATTATAACATTTAAAATCTCTAAACTTGTAATTCTGATATGTAACTGAGAGAATATAAGTTATATATAAATGTAGAAAGTAGTAAAAAAAAATGTGAGACCTACTTGGTCAAAAACTGCGTTGATAATTTTAGTAAAAAAGGAATAAAAAAGATAAATTTCAAAAAAAATAACATTAAAACTCATAAAAGCAAAATAAATATTTAAAAATATCAGAAACTTGTCCAAAAGTAGTGATGGGCAACTTCGGTACATTCTTGTACCCGGTACGAGAGTAACGGGTACAGTACCCGGTACAAAATACCCGTTACTCAAGTAACCATTACTTTTTCAAGTACCGAATACCCAAGTAACGATTTGGAGAACCGAAGTAACGAAATACCGGAGTAACGGTTTGCTGTACTGGAGTACCCTAGTAACAATTTGGAGTACCAAAGTACCCTAGTAACGATTTGGAG